CCAATGGTTCTACCACCCCAGTCCCTCTGCGGGATCGTGGGCGATCTCCCCATGGCAGGAATCCAGGGAGGGGGTGGAGGAAGAGGCAGGGGAATCCCTCACCTCAAATGAGACTGGGGAGATGTGTGCGAAGTGTGGGAAACGTGGAAAACAGTGCGGAAAAGCACCCCCCAAATAAGGCTGTGGCGCATGAGCGAGGAATCTGTTCAGTGACAACGCAGGGTCCCATTTCTGCGACATCCTCAAAAGGAGGAAAGGCGAGTGTCCCTGGACAGCTCTTTGGAAAGAGAAAGATCCATGGAGCCAGCAGACAGCCGTGGCCCCGCAGTGGCAGTGAAGTCGCCTTGCACGGCCTCCTCTGTCTCCCTTGCACCAGCCACGAGGGTTCAGAAGGCCAGGGGCAGGCTAACTTGTTCTCCTTTACATTTTGTATTTCCTTTAATATTTTGTATTATATCATGGTATTTTGGTCAATTTCATATGGAACAAATCACCTGAGTTCGCACTATTTCTTGTGGAGAAATCCACTTTGATGGACAGGTGCTTTGGATTACAAGCGTGTATCCGGAACAAATTATGCTGGCAAACCAGGGTCCCCCCGTATTTAGAACAAGCTGGGAATGTGAACCTGCTTCTTCTTCACCTGTAAGTTGTGTAGAGGTGGATGCAAATCAGGCCTTTTGATAAAAACTTCCTCTCCAAAGTGAGACCAGCTCAAGTGCCAGACTCAAACAGGATTCCCAAGGCTTCCCACAAAAACAGAACATGTATACTTTGCTGGTCTTGATGTTAGCTTGAAAGGCACAAGTAGGAAGGGATGAGTTAAATCGAAATGACATTAAAATATATATCTTCTGTTTTTTGGTCTTTGCTTTTTTGTCTTGTTCTGCTCTGTATTTGAGCCAGGGTGTCACAATGCAATTCAGGCTGCTCTTGGACTCACTAATAGCCCAGTCTGGACTCAAACTTGTAGCAATCATCCTGTCTCAGCCTCCCCAAGTGTGCTGGGGCTACAGGTGTGTGCCACTGTGCCCAGCTGTTTTTATTTTAAGTGAGCTGATTCACCCTTAGTGGGCTGGGCCTGTCAGGTCATGCAGCTTGGAGAACTCAGCAGTGATTGTCAGTCTGTCACATCACAAAACACAGGGGACACCGCTTAAAGAAGGTAGGGTAACTTTGGCCCAAGGTTGCTTGGCCCCAAGGGTGAGGCAGGACATCACACTAGGGAGCATGTGGTGTAGACAGACACCCACTTTGTGGTAGACAGGAGGCGGACAGAGAGGGCTTGGGGTCCATACAGCTCAGGCCCCTCAGTAGGACTCTCCCTCTTGTCCATGCCCAGAGAGACAGCAAACGACCAACCCATTGGCAGGTTAAATCAGAGCCCATGACCCAGGCACCACCCCAAAGCCCTGCCTCTGAAGGTGCTGTACTGGGGACTCCACGGCCTCACCCCTACACTGGCTCCTAATGCCCAGTTACCATGTGTGAACGCCCCCAGCAGGCAAGCCCGTGATTCCCAATGATGAGCAGTACGGCCCCTGGTCACAAGCCCATAAACCGACCATGAGCTCCCTCCTCCACAGGCCACACACGGTCTGCCCTGCGTTTCCACCTTGGCTGAGGGTGCCATGGAGATGCATCATTACCTCCATCGTCAGATGAGGGACAGCACAGGACAAGAAACACGACTAGGATCACACAGATTTCAAGCAGGAAACTCCAGCCTGAGCCCGAGGCTGGCGAAAGTCTGGGGCCAGCAGTGGCCCGATGTGCCTGGACTGCTGACTGACACCAAAGTCACTGCTGTCAGAGAACAAGAAACCACCAGGTGTAGTGGTGCACACCCATAATCTCAGCACTCAGAGGCTGAGGCAGGAGGATAGCTTCAAGTTTGAAGCCAGCCAGGCTGCATGGTGAGTTCAAAGCCAGCCTGAAGTGCATAGCAAGACCTTCTTTCAAATATCCAAACAATTAATAAATGAATAAAAGAGAAGGAGAAATAACCCTTAGTAAGATGCTGATGACGTGGAACCCTAAGGTCAGGGAGGACGTAACACGCACCTATTAACTGTTAGCCATCATCACTGTTAATGTCCTGCATTATTTCCTACTTCTGCCTAAAACACAAACGGTATCTTCTCCAGCATAGGCTCGAGCTACCCTTTAAGAGTCTGTCCCAGAGAGAGAAATGGATTAACGGTTTGGGCTAAATAGCAAATGGATCTTAATTTTGAAGCTATAAAATGCAGCTGGAAAATGGCTCAACTTTTAAGAGGAGAAATCTCAAGATTATTGTGCAGTGATGAGAAATCGATGTGGAGCAGACTGGGAAAGCTTCACTTAAATCAGTTTCCAGGGATCTGGGTGTGAAAACAGAGATTATCTTGCCTACCAGGCTGAGGGTGTCTGGTGGTGGGGGTCTGAAAAGCCAGCTCCTGTCTTGGGTGTGCCCTCCTGGTGGGCTCCCTCAGTCTCCTCCGCAGTTATGGGAACAGCTACCAGCAGCAGCTTCACTCCCCGGGGTGCTGGCGCTGCCCTGGGATGGCTGCAGGGGGACAGCTAGAGCCCTGAGGGCTGGGACGGTGTCTCCGCATGCACTGGAGGACGGAGGTCCAGTGGGCGGTGGCCGAGGGAGGAGCTGGGCACCCATGAGCGGCTCTGCAGGTGACACCATGCAGGGCGAAGGGCAGGGAGAACAGCAAGGAGGGCACAGCCAGGCAAAGGGGACAGCAGAGAGCACAGCAGGGCCAGGGGAGGCAGGGCGGCTGCATACCATGCCCGAGCTCACTCCCATGTCGGGGACACGTCTTGGGGAGGGAGGGAACGCCTGGCCTGCACTCCTGTCGGGAAGCAGCTGGCCTCCGAGGGCAGATTCCCAGCTGCACCGTGGGCTCCCCACCTCAGTGGCCTGGAGTGCGGGGAAAGGGAACGCTTCCTCACACGCACCTCTGCCCGGCCTCCTGAGCTGCCACGCGGAGGATGGGCACAGAGGACTCCTCCCACGTCTCCCAGGCTCTGTGGGTCGAAGCAGCTGTGGCTGAGCCAAATTGCAGGCTTGAGGGTGACCGGCTAGCCAGGTGCAGGCCCAGGGATGTGGGTGAATAGAGGCCCTCGTGGCGTGGGACCAGGGCCTCCAACCTGTTGGCTGCCACCTGGGTCCCCACTCTGCTCCGAGGCACTGCCCAAACCCCTCTCTACACCTCAATCCCCCGCTGCCCTGAACGCTTCTGCCTGTGACCTCTAGCCTGCATTTAGAGGTTAAGTGTCTTTGTAGTCTCAGTTAAGGAATAAGAGCTACAGCAGAACTACCAGCTCTAGACGGAGCATAGACCTAAAGCGCTTTCATGGCTGCCCGTACTTCCTTTATAGTATGTACATTTTCTATATGGGTAAATACATTTAACTTGCAAGCCCACTAGTCTGACATGGATGCTTGTTAATAAATGAAACACTGCTGATAGCTCCTCGGTGGATACGTACTTGAAATTAATCTTCCCAAGGCTGACAGCCACCCCACAGTTAAGGTCATTCCTCCTCAGCTGAACACAAACCACAATCCCGGACTTGGTGAAAGCATCTGTTTGTTTTTAAAGCATCAGCTGCCAGACTGTGCTGGGTGAAGTCTGATGGAGACTATGAAGAAAACAAAACCAAACCATGTGCGACTTCCACGTCTAGCATACGATTTCGGAGTGTTAAGAAATGCAACCCACCCCAGGTGAAACCAGAAAAGCTCTATTTTTAAAACATCCTTTGCAAAACTAACAGCAAAGTGCTGGAATCAGAAGCAGTCTGCAGTAAAGTCAGCATGAGGGCAGGACTGAGGGCCGGGCCTTGGGGCCGCAGCTCCCAGGGACTCAGGACTTGTTCTCCGAAACTGTGCTGAGTGTAAACCGAGGCTGTCTTCCCGGACAGGGCCTCACCTTGCAGGACTGACTGTGCATTCCAGCTGGAGCTGGCCTCAGCCGGTCTGGTCCTGCAGGCGCCACCAGCAGTAAATAAGCCTCAGGGCCCTGCAGCTGCCTCCGTGCTCTCTGGGCTCTGGGCAGACCTATCATCAGCAGGGGCTTATCCTGAGTGGGGCCCTGATCCACAGTACTCTCCCAGCTGACCCCAGCCGCAGTGTCCGTCTCAGCCATGGTGGAGGAAGGCGAGCACTGAAATCCCTCTGCCTCTAGGAGGACCCGCACCTCATCTGTGCTCAAACCCATGACCACAGAAAGCCAGAGTGAAAGGAGTGACCTATAACCGCATTTCAGGACAGGAAGCCAGCCCAGACTCAGCATCTGCTATGGGACGTTTTAATGACCGAGTTTTCAAATGTTGGCGTCGTTATAATTTTTAAAACTGACTCCCTGTGTTTCTGAATGAACGCACACGCTTTCACACTGGGATGAGTCTGGCTATGCTGAACCCTCAGTGCTGACGGAGGCACAGGCCACCGGCCCTTCCCCGCTAGAGCCCAGGAGGCGGAGCTGTCCGAAGGGAGCAGTCCTTAGGGACCTGGGCAGCTCAGCCAGGTCGAAGGCCCTGCGAAGGGACTGGGCTTCAAGCACAAGGACAGCGGGAAGATGGGAGCATATCCCTGTGTCTGTGGAACTGAGAGGTGCTTCACACCAGGCCACACGGTCGTGGGCTTCCTGGGTGGCCCGAGGGCACCTGTTCCACAGGTCATAGGAAGGCAGAGACCGCTGGCGTCCTACCCCCGCCCCCGCACCGGCTGCATGGTCTCTGGTTTGTTTTCTAAAGTGCAGCATGGGAGCTTCCCCTCACCCCTGAGTATCCACCTGTGCTTACCTTCACTTCAGTGCGAGAGTCAGGGTAGATCGGAGCTCCCCTCTGACCCACAGCCACACCTCCCAGGGCACCCAGGGCAGTGACAGCAGTGGCTGCACAGGCTGCACTCGGGGCACGGAGAGGTTGCTAGGCGGGGCGCGGCAGTGCAGGCGTTCTGCACACAGCCGGGAACGCGTGGGTGAGCCAGGTACCGTCCTTACCTGTGGGTCTGCAAACAGCAGCCCTGTGACTCCGTGCGTCACCACAGCGGCATTCCCTGGAATGTTCCTGGCCAGCACAGGGACCTCCAGATCCATGGCCTGAGGGGTGGAGAAGAGAGGTCATTAGGGGCTCGGTGACGATGAGGAGCAGGTCCAGTGGGCGGAGCTGGGCTTGGCTGGGCTCCCTCCACTCACAAAGCCCAGATCCGGCCACCCCCATGCCGTGTCTTCGAAGTGCGCCTGAGCTTTAGCTGCTTCCTGCATTCGGAAGCTGTGGGAAAGGACCACTGACATCAGGCTCTGTCACAGAGCAGCGTCTGCGAATTTCCCTGGGAACCTAGGGACCAGCACTCCTGTGCCTGTGGGGACGCTGTCTCCTAGTGGGCACCTGGACGGAGCACGTCTCTGCAGGCAGAGAGCAAAGGGGACACAGCTTATTGCTCCCGTTATTTACGAGCCAGCTATCCCCTGCCTGAAGGTTGGGACTGCGGCCTGATGTCCTACAGCCTGGCCCTGCTGCCCTGGAGGCTAGGGCAGGATGCCTGAAGCAGAGCATAGAGTGGCTGCACCTCCTGGGGCAGCATTTTGTGGCTCCTTCTGTAGTCTGGGGGCAACCCACAGGGCCACAGAGCTGCCTCCCCAGGACTCTCCAGACTGCCATGGCTCTCCCTCAGCTATGGGCACCTAGGCCGGCCTGCTCTGTGCAGGTGCCTGCCAGATGGTGAGGACTGTCCACACCTGGGTTCAGAAGCAAGACCAGCTCATACCATCAGCAAACCTCTAATACAACTCTTGAGCAAGTTCAAGGCCACCCTGAGCAACTTGGTGAGACCCTGTCTCAAAAAAATAATCTCATCCTAAGCAGTGACACTGGCTTTCAGAAATGTGTCGCTGCCCCACCTCAGCCTGTGTTCCGTAGGGACTGTGGCTCCCTGCACAGCCAGAGTGAGTCAGTGTCCATGATGTGGACAGCACCGTGTGAGCAGAAGTCTCAGGGTCTCACCAAGCTCTGGCCCCACGCCAGTGCTTTCCTGACCCAAGGTACCAGCGCACTGGTGCCCCTGCTGCCTGCCCCAGTGGCCGTTTGGTGCCCACCCTGAGGTCATCTGGGACTAAACCATGCCAGGCTGCCTGGCCAGCTCACAGAGGGTCCTCCCGGCTTCCCTCCTGTATTTAGAGTCCCATCTGCATCCTGTGGGTTCAAGACTGGGGTTTGCAGCAGGCTCTTCCCTCCGACACCTCAGGCAAAAACAGCCCAGGAGGATCTCATGAAGAAGTTCCCAAGGGCTTTGCAGAGGGCCAACAGGGCCAACACCTGGGGAGTCCAGAATCACTAAGGGCCACACCCCAGACAGACCCTGGGTACATGGAGCGAGGATGGCGGGGTGCAGAGGAGAGATGTGCCCTCGGATGACAGATAAGAAAATAATGCCCCATGTTTTTCCGATGTACAGGCTTAACTCCACAGACTGAGGCTTGAAACAACCTCTGTTTCGGAGTCTGTACCCTACTGCCACGCAGCCAGCTGAGATGCTTTTGGAGCAAATGGGGCTCTTCCACGCTCCCACGGGACAACAGAGCAGAATCTGAGAGGTCAGAGTTCACTTCCTTCGGGCATGAGCGTGGGCTCGCGATGAAGCTCCCCACATCTGGATCGGTCTAATGCGCGGCCCTCCCCACTTCCGCTTGCGGATCTGACGGCCGCGCCTGTGCAGTGCCATGGATGCATCACCAACCCCTCTGCACGTTCCTTTGGAAGTTGGAAAACACGTGTGTTTGCACATGAAGGAGCAGCCGGCAGCTGCTCGGGTAGGGCTGGCATCCCGGACACACTGCAAAGCTCCTGAGTGGAGACGAGGGTCCCGCTCCGTGGCCATCGTGGGACACGCAGACTCAGCAGCAACTCTAGCTGAAGACAAGCATCACAGAGCCAGGCCACAAAGCGCCTGCCCACCGAGCCCATGGGGTACTGTTCAGCTTCTACTGCCCCCCTGCATTTGTGGTTCTTCAGGTTTCTTCCTCTTTTGAATGAGGCCAGATTAAAAGAAAATATCAGACCTAAGAAGTCCATGGTTTCTTAAAACTCAGAGGAAAACATTTTCCTACTCTGTGAACCACAGTCTGAGCCCCTCAGCTTGTGACCTTGGACCTGGATCCTCTCCAATAGGATCCCGGGCTACGTGAATGCTGGGGACACTGGTTCAAGGGACTTTGGCTCCGATGGCCATGTGACCTCCTTTCCATGCAGGCTTTATCATATGTGTGAGACACATGTAAGCATGGGTGCCAAGTATGCTGTGTACGCTGTCCCTGTGGGGAGATGCCGGAGACCCCGCATAGCCACGAGCCTGGACATGAGGTCGGCTGGGCATGGCTTGGCTGGGGAGCTGAGCACTGCAGCCTCAGATGCCCCAGGTGGTCACAGGCAAGGGGCACACAGGGCTGGTCCTTACCAGGAGTGGACATGGCCAGCAGGGCTCTCCCCGCAGCTGGCCGCACACAGAGGTGCAGAGGTAGGCCGAATGACATCTGGCGAGAGCAGATGAGGGACTACAGGGACCAGCAGGGGAGGACGAGCTCAGCTATCCCTTGGTCCCCATGTATAGGGCCACCCCCTCTCGCTGGGCCCAGATCACAGAGCAGCAGACCAGAAAGCCAGATAAGGGACTGCCGTCCCACTTCCTGTCCCCACTTGTCCCGCCCTGGTGCCTTCCTGTCACAGGGACCTCGGCCATTTTCCTTCGTCCTGTAGCTGGGTGGGAGATGGCACAGTGAGTGAACAGGTGGCTCTGTGCCCCATGGGGGACTTCACAGGGATCTGGTAACCCACAGACCACAATGTACCACCTGCTCAGCCCTGACAAGGGCAAGGCTCTGGTCAGGGAGAGCAGTGGAGCAGGACAGGCGGCACCACCTCACCTCCAGGATGGCAGCCGACATGCCCTCCGACAGCGAGCTGTTCACCAGCGCTGAGCAGCTCTTCAGGGCGGCATGCAGGTCCCCCTGTGGCATCTCCCCAAGCAGCCGCACACCGAGGGCCCTGGAAGAAGGGGTGGACAGCGGGTTACTGCAGTGAGCTCATGAGAAGGGCCAGCAGGAGTGACAAGGTGACTTGGGAAAAAAGCTCCAGATCCAAAAGTAAGCATCATTAGCTGGCGAGGCATGGCTGCTATCGAAGCACTCTAGGAGGCTGAGGCAGGAGGACCCCAAGTTCAAGTCCAGCCTGGGCAACTTAGCAACTTGCTGAGATCCTGACTCAACATAAAACAATTAAAAATGGGTTGGGGATGTGGCTCAGTGCAAAGACCCTGGGTTCAATCCCAGTACCACAAAAGAAGGAAGGAGAGAAGGAAGGGAAGGAAAAGAAAGGAATGGAAGGGAAGGAGGGAGGGAGGAAAGAGGAAGGAAGCATTGCAGACAAAGGCTTCAGCAAGGGAGTCAGCACGGGGGAGAAACCTGCAGTCAGAATCCTGGGGAGGGAGGCAGGGATGGTGACAGCTGTTTCCGCTCTGAACACGCCCGGTATGAGCAATGCCTAAATCGCAATTATGCTGTCCGGCCGCTCCACTCTGTGATAGAGGAAACATTTTCCTAAGAACTCAGTCTTTTTTCAGATAATTCTAAAAATATGAATAGAGGTGAGCAGAAAGGTGAATGGAGGGAGCAGCACTGCCTCAGAGAGCAGTTGATCCCCAGCCTCCCTGGCTGTTTCATCAGGTGACACAGCTCTGCCTCTCTCCCGCATCCCTCCATCCTGCTCTCACTCCAGCCTCCCCAGAGTTCTCAAATTCAGGGCCCTGCACCAGACACACAGAGCCTTTGTGGTGGGGGACACAGCCGGGTCCTGGGGCACGGGCACCACACCCTTTGGGGCTGAGCTGAGCTGCCCTTGCCCACCACTGCCCACACTCTGCAGAGCCTGAACCAGGTGCTGCAGTCACCGTGGCACCTGAAGGCCAGGGGCAGGGGTGGAGGAACCTGCCCTGACCCCTGCAAAGCCACTCTGACCTCCCGTGCTGCTCACAGATGTCCCTGAGCCACAGACAGGCAGCGGGTGCTCGAGGTGGGGCCTCCCCGCCATCCTCCGGGCCCTGGCATGTGATCGTGCCAGTCGTATCTCCAGCACCTCCCACGGCCTTTCCCTCCACGAGTGGAGAGCCCAGGACCCGCGTGAGGCCTGGTGGGGTGGCCCTGGGGCTCACGGCCACCCCGTCCTTACCTCTGCACTCGGGCTCTTACTTCTCTGGTGAAGACGGGATCCACCTGGAAGGAGAGGGGCGGACTTCAGCAGAGGCCGCATGGGCCTGTGTCTCTGTGACTTTCTGCTCGGGCCTGTGGGCTCCACAGCCCCAGAGGGAGAGGGTCAGGAGGAGACGGTGCACTGTCCGGCCACGAAGAGCAGGGACCCCACCAGCCAGGGGAAAGAGAAGGGACAAGGTTATGCATGGATTGACCATAAGACGTGCTGAATGTCTACACTTTAAGAATGGATCACAGCAGACGGCACACCAGACTTCACCCGAGCAGCCCCATCTCTTTTCTCTATTTTTACTCTGAAACAGGCTCGCACTCAATCACTCAAACTGATCTGGCTGGGCTGGAATTTACCATCCTCCAGCCTCAGCCTCCCCACATGGAGAGCACAGGTGAGCGGCTCTGCCTGGTGAGCCACACGTCCTGGGCCAAGCGTGTGTGAGGCGCAGACAGCAGTGAGGGCCCTCAGCCTGGCCTGTGTGGTTCCTGAGCCGGGGCTGACGTGAGTCACAGATGGCGCCCCCGGAGGCTGGCCGGGCCGCACACTCCATGCTCCAGGCAGATGGGTGACCGCAACACAGCCAGGGCGGATCTATAAAAATCTGGATTGCAGTGGGTTCCGCTGAGTGGACAGACAGACAGACAGACGCAGGCACTGGTGGGTCTGGTGCTCGAGGTCTCTGCGCTGGGCCCTGCCCGCTGAGACAGCGGCATTGAGGGTCATGGCTCCAAGATGACCAAGGCGTCTTAAACGGACGCAGCACAATGGAGTTCCAGGCATTTCTCAGTGCCCACCGCCACTTCCTGAGCTGCGCAGAATGGGAGGAAGACAACACAGCTTTCAGGCTCATGTGCACTTAGTGGGTGCTGTGAGCTGCAGGTCACAGGGAGAAGAACACGGCCCCGCCAGCTCAGGGGCTCCGCTCCTGAAAGGAAGCATCCAGGTGCCCATGCTGACACCGAGTGCTGAGGCCAGACGTCAGCATGCTGTCCCGGGCCGGGGCTGTTGGTCTCATCTCTGCGGCCCCACACCAAGAAGATGCTGCGTGAGCGAGATTGTACTGGATAGATCTGGGGAAACCTCGCCACCCCAGCAGCCTCTCATTGCTGTGTGTGAACAGGAGACTCCCAGCAGCACTTTCTCCACTCCAAACCCATGTGAAGCCTAGACACCCGGCCACCTCCCTGGGGCAGGATCCTGTCCTCACTGTCTCCTTGAACACAGGGACACTAAAGCCCAGAAAGGCTGGGTAACTTCCCTGGGATGCCACAGCCAAATTCCCATTCAGGAAGTGCAGCCCCAGCCTGGATTCTTCAAGCCAAGCCCCCTGCCTCTGTGGTTTCTGCTCCGTGGGTTTCGTGGACAGCTCACAAAGCTCATGGGCCGATGGGTTGCCTGCCTAGCTCTGCCCGTCCCTGCTGTGTTCTGACCTCTCCAACAAGGTTACCCCATCCAAGACCTGCTGGTCCTCATGGGCAGGCAGTGTGCCTCCCCCACAGCCCCACCAGGAGCAGCTCCTCCTCCCCAGCTCTCCTGACGCCTGCCACCCTGGGGCTGCCTCCATCACCCCATCCTCTGCCCAGACCCCGAGCTCACGGCACCTGCCGCACAGTCCTGTGCCCGAGCATCACTGCTAGAGATTTGAAAGTGCTTCCAGCTGAGCCCGCCACCTCTCTGGTTCCTTCTGCCTAGACCACCCCACACAACCGAAGCACACCCTAACCCTAGCAACGAAAAAGAAGTTGTCCGAGGAAAACCTTCTCTGGGCTCTTTGTATGAATATTTCACTACAATATTTGTAGCTAGAAGTCCCTCTTCTAATTCTATTAGCATGCATCCATCTCCTGATTAACCATTCATGAAATGATGCTTTTTCCAGGAAACAAATCAGGTTTTATAAGCTCGCCAAAACACCTAGCACTCAGACTGAGATGCCGCTGATGGTCGGTCCAAGAGTGTCCCTTAAGATGAACAAGAAACTGCACTGAGCATCTGTGCACTTTCACATCTCTTAATTAAGCCAAGCACAGCGAAGCACAAGACAAGGAGAAAGGCAAGAGTGGATATTTTTGTGCAATAAAAGCACATGTTATGAAATTTTTAAAGGCAAAAGCGTCGTGCACAGCAAAGAAAATTCTCACACCCCGCTTGCAAGCGGTGATAGTTCCAAGTCCCGGCTTTGGAAGATCATCTCAGACAGAAGTTACCACGAAAGCCAGCAGCTGCCCTGCCCCACCCAAGTGCTCTCCTGGAAACACGCTGCGCAGATGCTCCTGGGACCAGGGCCACACACACTGCCACCAACAGGGGAATGGGAGGTCAAAGGCACCTTTATGGGGGACAGAAGCCGAGCGGCGTGGGGCTGGGGAGGCTGGAGTGGGGTGCTGCCCGGTTCTATGAGAAACCATGAGGCAGGGACTCCTCTCTTAGCTCACGTGTTTCACAGAGCGGGGGACTGAGGCCGGGGTGGCTGAGTCAGGAGGACTCCCGTCTCTGGCACCAAAGTCTGCAGTGCACACTCCAGCCTCCGACACCTGGACCATGGAGCTCGTGTGACCATTGGGATGGCACCACCCGGGCCACAGGAGCCACGCAAGCAACACGGGCGACTCACACAGGACGGGACCTGGCCTCGAAATGTCAGTGTGCATACGGATGGCGTCTCCAACTGTGACACAGCTTCCACTCCACTGTGCCATAAAAGCTGGCAGAGTTGATAAATGCAAACTGAAGACCAGAAGGGCGGCTTTCAGAACACAACAGAGGGGCCGGCTGCCTCAGGTACCCTGGGAAATGGGCGGTAGCAACGTCCACGGAACTCGTACCCAGCCCCATAGGCCCAGGTTAGAAGAAACCCCTCCTGTCCTGGGCATTCGCTTACATCTGTCTATACAGGGGCCACCAAAAAAGTAGGCACCCATTGGAAAAGCAAACCTTGTGCACGTATTTCAGTACCAAATTTATCAATACACATTACTCTTGAGAGGTGCTCAGAGTGGTGGCCATGAGCTTCTGGAGGGTGTCAAGCACGGTGAGCTGCTGAGCGTGTCTACATTTTCTGGCCGACTCTGCACACAGACACAGATGAGGAGATACAGACGGTGCAGACACAGGCATGGAGGCAGAGGAGGACACAGACACATACCTGGCCATGGCCTCGGACACCCACAGCACATGATGGGGCCCCCAGCCTTCCTGAAGCCCTGCTCTGGGCCTCACCTGCAGGTCCCCAAGGCAGTGAGCACCGGGCACTGGAGGAGAGTCCTCCTGCCCTCTCTCCTGGGGCTAAGCCTGAGAGCTGCAAGGCCCGTCAGCAGGGAGGTGTGCAGTCTCTCCTCTCGTGTGGTTCTGGGGCAGAGACCCAGGACTTAGTGAACTTCTCTCATCTTTGCCTTGACAGCTGAGCTGAGCATGGTTCCACTGCCCCGGTGCTGCTTCCTCCAGGATTCCTGGGCTGGTCTCCCAGGGGGTCTACCCGGGCCTCCTCACGGCAGGCAGGATGTGCCTGACGGTACAGTCCACACCTTCTCCTGGCCAAGGCTCTGAGGTGGAGACGTCTGTCCTCCGGAGGAGGCTATCTATCGTGTGAGGCTCACTTCCGGGCCAGCCCTGGGCTCCAGGTACATCTCTGTGCTGACATCGGGCTGAAGCCATTTGTGGTACTGTGGGCACTGGACCACCTGGAGGCTCCTGGGGCCTCCTGCTGGGTGGGCTCCATGGAGGGGGGACCTGAGGCGTGGCTGCCACTGTAGTCACTCCCAGCAGCAGGCTGGGCTCCTCCAACCAAGCAGACAGGTGCAGATGCCTCAAGTCCAGAGTGCCTGGTTCATGCACCGAGCTCGCAGCCAGCGAGGGAAGAAACGGCCAAAGGGTGTCAACAATCTCAGTGAGCTGGGGGTCCGACCTGCCCTGTCACAGCCATTACAGCAAGACTCCTAATGCACCCAGGCCGGCCTCTCACCCCCTCTAATCTGCACCAATGCACAGCGCTCACACTGCAGTAAATGCTCAGAGTCAAGTAGAAATGGCTTTGCTCTCTTCGCTCAGCCCAGAAGTGATACTAAATTGAATGCTTGGCTCCAAAAACTAATAGCTGTGTGGACATTTCACTGTGAGGATGGAGAAAGCATGGGGACAGGCTGAGAAGGTCCCTCCCAAGGGGCAGCTCCGTCCCAGCACACAGCAGCACACAGACACCCGCCTGGTGTGTTCAAGTCACCACAGTGGCACAGCACACTGAAAAATCACATTCAGGGGTAAACAGCAGCGTTTTAAAAATGACAAAATAGGGCTTGGGATTTAGCTCAGTGGTGCCATGCCTGCCTGGCAAGTGCAAGCTCCTGAGTCTGATTCCCCATACCAAAAAGAAAGAAAAAAAGAAAAACGTGACATGGAACAGAATACCATAGCATGGCAAAATCTTTTTAAAATAGCAGTCTGATACAGATTCTTTCCAGAATGTGTGTATATATGTGTGATGGGTTACTTCTGTGTGTATGGGTGTGTGTGTGTGCATTGCATGCAGTGGGTTATTCTGGTGCAGGCATGTGTGTGCATGTGGGGCAGCAGGTTAACTCCGATGTACATGTGTGTCATGTGTCCATGTATGAGTAGCATGTCGCTCTGGGGTATATATAGAGGGTGTCACTCATGGCACAGGACCAGGAGCTCCCAGCTAAGGAGCAGCTCTGCAGCAACTCCTCTCTATGTCCTCTGCTCCACTGAGCTCACCCAACTGTCCATGCAGTTCCAGTGCCATCCTTTGGGGTATGCACTGCCTGTTGGACTCGGTCCCCACATTCCACAGTGCCACACCACCGTCTCTGCCTCCCCCAGGTCCCAATTGCAGCAAAGAGAAATATTTCAAAATCAAGTACACAGCTTGGTGAGGTGGCACACACCTGTGATCCCAGCACTCCAGGCTGGGATCCAGGTTGAGGCAGGTGGATTACCATGAGTTCAAGACTAAGCTGGGCTACATAGTGAATTCAAGGCCAGCCTGGACTGCATAGTGAGACCCTGTCTCAAAAAACAAAAAACAAGGCTGGGAGTTAGCTCAGTGGTTCCACCTCCTGCCTCGCAAGCGCACAGACTCCAGTTCAATGTACAGTACAAAAAAAAAAAAGACAAAACAGGTAAACAGCCAGGTGTAGTGGTGGTATGCTTATAATCCCAGCTAATGTGGAGGCTGAGGCAGGAGGATTGCAAGTTTGAATCCCACGTGGACAATTTAAGGCAATTCTATTTCAAATAAATAAAAAAAGATTGGGGGATGTAGCTCAGTGATAGAATAACTCCAGGTTCAATCTTCAGTGTCAAAATGAATAAATAATAGGCAAATGGAGGTCAGTGAGCCAGCAGTATGCTTCGGAAGGAAACGGCAGGAATGGCCTCTTTGTCCTGGAGAGAAACAGCGTGCCCCTCCTGCTCTTGCTGAAGGAGCCATGACGGCCAATGGCACTTGCTGCCGCCCCGCGGGGACCAAGTGGCAGTGAGGCCATGACGAGCCCAGGCCTCTGTGGCTCCTCCCCTCCCCTCCCTGCCATGGCCTCCCATGCCCACAGGTCTGACTTCCCCAGGACAGGGGTGATCCTCATGCTTGGTGCTCTCTGTGTCCCCTCTTGCCATCTCTGTGCGGCTTCCTGGAGAGGAACATGTTGAAGGGGACCCAGCACAGAGACCCGACACCCTCAGGTGGTGCTGGTAGGGTAAAGTGTTCCCACCCTCAGCTGCTGTGCCAGCCCCGCGGTCTGTGTCCTGCACACCAGCTGCCCGCCTGCTTATTAACATTTGCCATGGAGTCACTTTCACTCATCTCTTAAGGGCACCTGCCTACTTGGAAAGTGTACCACGTGCTACAAGTAGAGCACCGTGATAAAATAGAAATGATGAAAGAGAAACCATGGTATGAAATTCCTCCCCGGTGCTGCCTTTGCCAGCCCGTGGCTCCAAGCCCAAAGCCTTCTCCTTGGTTAGCAGGAACGTGAGCTTCAGACTGAAACTTCCTCCAACATTCTCTTCAAGCAGAGGACAGGAGGAAATGAAAAAGGAAACAGTGATTGCCACCCGGGACACAGTGTTAATTATCACTCTGGGACGAGCTTGCTGCTTGCAGAGGGCTGGCACTGGATGTGCTGTGCATATGTGGTGTGGTGTGAGCATGCATCATGCATGTCTGTGTGTGTCTGTGTGTGTGTGTGTGTGTGTGTGTGTGCACGAGCACTACACCAACACACTTGGTGGACTGAGGAGGACCCTCTGTGTGGCATCCAATGCAGCCCACACCTTCTCGGCCTGGATGCTTTTATTGGCTTCCCTGGCCTCTTTCCATGACACATTTACTTCCCAGAGCCCTGGAGAAGACAGGAAAGTGCTGACTGCTTCCTCGGTCCCTTAGGAACTGGAAAACCAGAGAAGCTACACAAGGAGGAAGGCCCAGCAGGCGCACGGAAGTTGTGCGGAAGCCGGCTTGCTGAAATTTTGGGGTACACCCCTGTGCAAAGTGCGTGAGCAGGCAAGGATGCCCACGTGTGAGTCACACAGTGGGCAGGAGGGGGTTCAGATGTGGCAGAGACTCACTACCCACGCAGGTGGAAAACACCGTGAAGCAGGCAGCGGGTACAGCCACACTGACACCAATACCCAGGGCCGGCACACTTGGGGCCAGGAGAAGCCCCCCACCCCCACCCCCATTAAGACAGTGCCTTCTCCGCATGCGGTGGAAGGGGCAGGGAGCTCAGGGGCCCCCTTGAGAACCCTAGTTCTGTCCACAAGGCCCCCACCCACTCCGCATTAGGAGCGGGATTAGATTTCAGCGTAGGAGTCTGGGGGGCACAGACCCTCAGCCAGCCATCCTGGAGCAGAAACTGCTTCCTGTGCTGTGCACACGGCTTCTTTGCCTGAGTGCCTGGAGCAAACGCAAGGTGCCCCGGGGGAGGCAGAGTGTGGCTGGACTCCCCGGGGCTGCACGCAGAGAACAGAATGTGTACCCAGCCAAGCCTCCGGAACCTGCCTCGGGCCAGGCACCACGGGGGTCCAGGTGGACGGAGGGCAGTTCCCAGCCACTGCCACTGTCATCAAGCTCAATGACCTCCCCCGGGGTGCTGCTCACCATGCCGGCCTGCAGAAACAGCCACAGCTGCGTGTCACTCTCTGAGCAACGTAACGTGGGTTGAAGGACAGGTGGAACCACATGTATGACCTGTGCAAGTTAGCCCTTCCCGTCACATAACCTGAAGTGACCCCACTTCCGTGATGACTCTGGGTTCCTCTAGCAGTTCATTAGTTAGCCTTTGCAGCAGTGAATTTGTTGTAAAGATTAACCATAATGTTCTTTATAATAAATTACCTCAGAGAGTAGCTGCAGTTGTAACGATCTTTAACCTTCGTCGGGGTTCCGCTTTAAAAAGGCAAACTGACTTCATTTTACTTAAGAATGAGGGGATCCCCGGTACCAAAAAGAAAAAAAAAAGAATAAGGGGAGAGCCAGGCATGGTGGTACACACCTTTGATCTCAGCACCTGGGAGGCTGAGGCAGAAGGATTGCTGAGAGTTCATGGCCAGCCTGAACTACATACTGAGTCCCTGTCTCAAAAAACCAAAAGAAAAAAATAAAGGGAAGAAAGCCAACTTAGTGAGACAAGTAATGTATACTATTTTAGAAAATACATCAAAAGTACAAAAGAGCAGAGAGAGAGGAGACAAGCTCACAGCACAGGGACTTACTTCCGGACCCACGATCACCATGTAGACACTTGACTCTTCTTGGTGCCATTCTTGGGAAGAAAAAAAAAGAAAAAAAAAAAAACACTTTTAAAATGGTTCCAACTCACAGCTAGGAACACTATTAAGTTTAATGGAAATTATTCCATAATAGACACTATTTCACAGCACTTTTCTTTCATAATATTAGCCAACTTAAACTAAGTATAGTAAACTATACTTAGAATTCACACACTTGACATTTTAAGTCTTAGTTAAGATTTTGTTTTCTATGGCGCCACACATTACCCAGATTTCTAATGCTGCATAAATAGGCCTGTTACGGTTTATATCTACATGTCCTCCCAAAGCCTCACATGCTGTTAGGTGGGGCTTTGAGAAGTGATAGGATCGTGGGGTGTGAAACACATCATGGATTAGCCCACTGGTGAGTCTATAGCTGGGAGTGATGTTGGAAGGTGGAGCTGGGTGGAGGAGGTGGTCACTGGGGATGTGACCTAGAGGAGTTTATCTCCCTCCTCCACCTCCTCCTCCTCGATCTCTGCTCCCTGTCTGCCCTGCCCTGCCATGGACTGTTTCTCCTCTACAATGCCCCTCTGCCATACCCCCTGCCTTGGAGCCAGCCGACAATGGACTGAAACCTCTGCACATTGTGAGCCGAAATAAACCTTTCCTCTTTAGAGTTGCAGGTGCAAGTACTGTGTCTCCAGATGAGAAAATAACAAAGACAAGGACTAATATTTAGCACAAGCCAGTAGAGTGTAGAAACTAAAGACAAATAAACCAATACAGCCAGGGCATCGTACAAGGACTGTGTGCAGGATATGTCAGTAAAAATGCATTCCTTTCTTTCCTCTCCTCTATATATATCTTTTCCCAATTTATTTATTTTTAAATTTTATTCAGTTCATCATATTTTTATTAGTTTAACATTTTAAAAATTCTTTTAGTCTTGTAATTATTTGCAGTGTTTCTGGTTTCTTCAGAACCTGTGGACATAGGAAAGCAAAAAAGAAAACAGAAATTTCTATCCAGACCTACTGATCCCTCCAGTTAGCTTCCTGGTTATTTCCAAAGCTGTGATCTCAAGACACTTCTGCTTGTGTGCAAAGAATAAGAGAAAAACCTCAAAGTCCCAAGATGCAGGCATGGCACCGAGACTCTCCATGCCCAGGTGTGATTCTGGAAACCCACCTGAAAACGCATCCACCAGGTAAAGAGGGTCCTTCACGCGCCGCAGCCCACACACGAGGAGGAACACGTGCAGCTGGTCGGTGCTCTGGTAGATCTCTGCAACACAGGTGCAGGCACGTTAGCAGGGAGAATGCTCACTGCTGGGTCTGTGGCTATGGCGTCTGCACATTCCCTTTCCTGGCCTTGAGGCCAGCTTCCCTGCTGTGAGCAGCACCCTACTGGTGGTGAATGTTCACCTCTGTAGCCACGGGGAAAGACAAGGCCCGACAGAGCTGACCCAGTGAGCACCAATACTGGAGGCCAAGGAAAAATGCCTGTACCCAGTTCTAGATGGGTGGACTATTTCCCTGATGAAATTAGAAGCTGGGTGTGGTTCTGTACACCTGTAAACCCAGCAGGAGCATTGCAAACTCAAGGCCAGCTTGGGAAATAACTTGATAAAACCCTGTATCAAAATAAAATAAGTAAACAAGGGCTGGGGGTGTAGCTCAGTGGTAGAGAGCCTGCCTGGCCTACACAAGTCCAGGGTTCTATCCCTTGCACAAAGAGAAGTGACAGATGTCTTGTGTATTAACATGTGCTCGAGTTCACACATGCACGGACAAGTCCACATATCTAGAGATTGTGTGTCCACAGGCAGGGAAGCACACCAGGCATAAAACCATCCACTACATCTCACACACAAACAAGTTTGATATGTCCACTATGCCTCAAGAAACCAGGAAAAATGTAAAATAAAAAAAGGAGACAGAAGAGGCTTAGGTTTGCAGGATGGAAAGCAGGACTTGAGGCTGGCTGGGGACCCGGGTTGTGCAGTTCCCTGTCCCTCCGGGCTGCCTGTGACCTCCACTGGTCGGAGAAGTGGGGTGCATGACCCAGCCCTGGCCCTGGAAGCCTCGTGGCGACCCTGCCACCCACAGCCCTGCACACACTAGTGCCTGTGACAGCCCGGCCACTTCCCTGGGGATAACACTTTGCGGGGTGACACTGACCCTGCTGGTGAGCCTGAGATCCACAGGGACCGTGCTGGACCTGTGGGGCCGCAGCTGCCTGCAAATGTCCACTGAGCCCAAAGGACGTGTTCGGAGCAGACAGGAGGCAGGCAATTACAAATACACACCAAAATGGTAGCCACCACAAACCTGGATGCATCCAGCAGGGGCTATTTGAGCCGGAGCACCTTGGGGTGGTTTCTTACAGCTCGCTCGGCCCGCCCTCAACAGGACACCCACTGTCAGCTGCTTGGGAACTTCAGCATCCTTAACCTGCACAGCCAGCCACAGCATCACGCCAGTTCAGGGCTGTCCCACATGGGCATCTGCCCTTCACTCAAGGCAGATGATTCTTTTCTCCGTGCTTCTTTAAGTCTTGAACAGAAACATCCCTAGTCTGATGGTAACAAGGCACACTGACACCAGCTGAATGCAATTGCCAAAGGGTTAAAACGGACTGCACAATTGCTGGTGGAACAAACACCTCCTGACATGGTCAGATGCAGATCCGTCTCTCAGCAAAGCTTCAGAAACCATTACAGGGCTGGGGTGTGGCTCGGTGGCGAGCACTTGCCAAGCATGCCCGAGGCCCTGGGTTCCAACTCCAGCAGTGCCAAATTTTAAAAAACCCAAATCATCACGGTCCCTGAATTAACCATGAGTAGTTAATACTGAGCTATGTTGAGACAGGCCTCTTATCTATTCCTCCAAAACCCTGAGTACCCTGAAACCAACCTCAGAACTTCGACCTGAGCGAGCATATCTTTGAACCAAAGCTTGAGCTAGAAGCTACATGAAGATCTTGGATGTGGGTCAGAGAACTTGAGGTCAGGCATTCGAGTCTGAGCCAGGTGTCAGCCAGCCCAGAAATGAGAAGAGCCACAGGAAAGTGCCAAGGATAGGCCACCTCGAGTGAGGACAGACAGAGCTCAGCAGGTCCTGGGTGGGGTGGGGCCACTAAGGGGCACTTTGATTGGAGGCAGTGTGCTGGGCCAGAGATCAGAGTGCATTCACGGGGAGCTCTTGCCCAGCATGTGCCACGCCCTGGGTGCCAGCGGGCAATGAAAACAAATGCAATCCAGAAAGTTGCTTATTAGCTACAGAGATAAATACCAGTATGTAGAGAAACCAGACAGATGTCACCTTGGGGGAGGGAGAGGACCTCAGCACGTGTGCACATGACACACACAGGTCACATCTTCAGAAAGCACGTGAGGGCCAGGGCCCACATGTGCCGTGCTCAGATGTGGCTGCCCAGAGGATCTGCTCCAAGGTGTGGGAAGAGTAGGGGAGGAAGAAAGCAAAAGGACATGCAGGGTCTAAAAACAGGAGGAAGTGGAGAGTCTGTGCCACCTAATCAAGGAGAGATGGATTACATAAAAGTGCAGAACACAGCCCAGGGCACTGGCGTCCAGCCACGGAGGCAGAGACAGCTGGGTGCGGAGCCCTGTGAGCTCCAGTGAGGATGGCTCGGCTCTCTAGGTGCCTGGCAGCCTGCGGGTCATGCCATGCTTCCTGTTCATTACATGGCCAGAGTCGGCTACTCAGCAGCAGCTTCAACTGGGTCAGCAGAAGCTGGGGCCGGCCCTGGCCCTGCACTGCTCCAGGTCGCTGGAGATGCACCAGTGGGGGTGGAGGGTGGGAACCCAGCCAGGTGCAGCAGATCTGCGACTCACCCAAGATCATCTGAGGCCTGCAGGACCCAGCATCAGTGTGCGAGCCACACACCCACCCAGCGGTACATAGTTCCACAAAGCACCCGGGCCTCGCTACATATGAGGCCCTTGATGTGCTCAATTTATTTCATTTCAGTTTTTAAAGTGCTCGTCCCTGGCTCCCTAAATTGATTTAAGAATTCCTGGCCTGGGGGGCCAGGAGGGCGGGAGCAGGAGCTAATCCTCTGGTCCTTGCCTCCTTCGCGCCCTCCTGGGTTGGAGATGAAATGTAATAGGAATTTAGGAAACTGCATTAGATGATGACAGGAGAAAGGACTCACTGGTCTTTTGCTAGGGCTTTTGAAAAATGAAATGCAGAGGTGACATTTGGACTTGACAGAAGTGCCATTTCCCAAAAATAAAGATAACGGTTGAAGCACCCTGACCTGTGGGCCAGTGCTGCTGCCCCCAGCACTCACACGCCCATGCTGGTGACCAGCAGCCAGGCTGCTGTGGCCCTTGGTGGCGCTTCAGAGGGGCTGCTATTCTTGCTGGGCCTGCTGAGGTCCAGAGGAGTGGCAGGCGCCTCCCTGAGATGAGAGTGAATTTCACTTCCTGTTTTAGGAGGAACTTGCTTCTGCTCTGTGCCCTCCTGTGACATCTGGTGACACCCGAGCTAAGGTCTGAGGCCGTCATGTATGAACGCACACATGTAGGTGCCTTTCCTGCGGTACTGTTTCCTGCAGGGTGGTATTTTTAATCTTCACAACAAAAATGTGTCACTGGCACGGTCTGACACAACATCAGCAATGGCAAGCTGAACACACTTCCTGGGCCCGAGGTGACTCAGCCAGTGTCCATAACAGAATCCCTGACATCACTTCCTGTCCCTGCACTCACTTCCGGCAGGCTCCCATTCCACTCTCTATCGTATCACTAGGAGAAAAGGATCCAGGAACTTTAGCCGTGCATGGTAAGCTAACTGAATTTTAGCTGAAAAATCTGACTCTCTGGCTTTGTACGAATGAAGAGGGGCTGGGGGAACAGCTCAGTGGTAGAGGAGCAGTTGCCTAGTGCGCACAGTCTTAGGTGTGATTTGTAGCACCCTCAAAAAATTTTTTTAAAAATGAAGAGATCTAGTAACATTAATATTCCATATAAAGAACGAATGTGTCTTTGTCAGGAACAGCCCAAAGAAGAAACAGAATAGTGTGAGTGAGGTGTATTAGTTTCCATATAGACAGGAGAGGGAGTGGGAGAGGGGAATTAAGTAAGCAATGGACAAATAAAACGAAATAGAGGAAAGCCAGGAGGGAATGGCTCAGTCAAACTTAAGATTCCCTCTTCTGTACTTTTTGAGTTGGAAGGTCTACAAGGAATCATTACTTTGCATCTGTTAGTCACTGGTCCTTTTAAGCAGAATCATGGAGCCCTGAATCCTAACATTTCAGATGCACAGAAAGCCTTAAAGACCAGGTAACTAATTTGATGCCAACAGATGTTTCTTCTCATCAGAACAGCGGTCATTAATTCACGTGATGGTTTAAGGGACAGCTGCTGACCGCACGTGGCCCACGCAATCTTCGTGCACCCTGAGCTGACAGGATCTAACATGGATCTCAGGGAGACAGGGCTTGTGAGCTTGGGCTGAGAGATACAATGAGCACGGCAGGAGCCTGCTGCCTGTCGAGGGAGGCTGGTGTAAGGGTCTGAAGAAGCAGGCCACAACCCCATCCCTCATCACCACCAGAGCATGGTGGAGGTTTAAATGAGCCCCCGCGCTGCTCTGCAACTTCCAGGAGAGCAATTCCTAGGGACTCAGAGTGCTTTGGTCACTAACAGGCTGTACGCAGCTCCCTGTGCCTTCTGTTGTCACCGTCTGAAGCTCCGAGCGGAAGTGGCAAGCCGCAGTACCCGGACCATGGTAAGACTGGACGCAGACAGGAGCATGGGCCATCGCAGAGTCCGAGACGGTGAAGATGAATGATGCCAAATGAGAACAGACGTCGCTCATGAGCCGGGACGCAGAGGAGCCCTCGTCGGCCCTGTCACCAGCTCGCACTGCTGATCCAGGGCCTGACACAGTCTGCCGGGTCACAAGCTCTGAGCACTCACCGCCTCTGGGGCAGGGCTCCAAGGGGCTGAGGAGTTGCTGCCTCAGAGTAATTAAACTCCAGCCATTCTGCTCATCACTCACAGCAGGACTGGCCCTGCTGCTCCGGAAGCTGGTGACAGGTCACCCTGGCTTGGAAATTATGAAGCTCAGTCACACCGCACGTGCCTTGTAATGTATTGGAGATGAACTTGCTCACAGCTGGCAGTGAAGTGGGCCGGTTCTGGCCGGCACCGTCCCTGACATGATGGAGTGGTTGGGCAGGGCAGGGGCGTCTGTCACACTGGGATCGGCCACGCCGCTGTCACCAGGATTGATGAGCACGCTATGAAAATGATTTCCAGTAAAACGCCTGGAGATTTTTCTTTTCAAGGGAAACTACAATGATGTGGCCTGTAGGTAAGGCCTTGTCCTGGTGTCAGGGACTCCAGCTCCCTCCCTCCTGCCGAGGGCAGCTGTGATCCTGAATGCTCAGCCTCTCCCCAGTACAGAGCAGACCCACAGCTGCCCACCCTGGCCTGCAGACCCTCCAAGCGCAGTTCCTGTGTCTACCATGCACTGCGGGCCTCCTCTGTGGGCAAGCAAGGACCCAGGCAACAGGATTCTGGGCATTGTGGCCATGCTGATTTCAGAGTGCATGAGGGAGGGAGCAAGAGGGAGCAAGTGCACTGTGCTGTGCTGTGTGGGGAAAGAGCCTGCCCTGCACTGCACTGGGACCCTCTGAGATCCCCGTGCCTTCCCAGGGTCAAGCCTGCCGGTTGTGTGAGCCCCTGACAGCTGCTGACCAGGGGCATCCAACCCAGAGGCTCCACTGTGGGGGATTCCTGCTAAGGAACAGGCGAGGGCATAAAGACCACGTCCTAGTGCTCTCTCCACTGCACATGGGAGGAGTTGTAACAAAAGTCTAAATGTCAGAAAAAGGCCCAGGTCCAACTAGTTACAGCAAAGCAATGACATGAAAGAGATTGGAGCCATGCTGCAGTGAGAGCTAATAAGTAAATCCGCAAGACTGTGGGACGCATCAGCACACGAAGCCAACGTGTTTCCATTCCCTCACAACCACTGGAAGATTAAAAACATGTAAGTCTATAATTGCATCAAAAATAATAGTTAAACATATTTATTAATGAATACACTTTGAGACCATAATGTAAGTGAAATAAATCAGGCACAAGAGCTTAAATATCACACGGTTTCTCTTTCATAAGAAATCCAAACTATAAATAACTTAAAGAGCAAAATGAAAGACAGATAAAAGGAAATAGATCATTCTCAAATGGGAACAGGACCGAGAGATGGAGGGAGTGGGGACAGGGACGGAAAGGGGCTGAAGTAGGGATGAAGAGGTGCTGCGCCCATGTGCGGGGAAGTAAACACTGTGTACTACAAATGTGGACTTAATAAACATAAAGAGATGTTTACAAGGCATGAGAGATTTGTACAAGTGGTTATGAGGATAAAATAAATAAGGCTTCCATAAACAGGCACATTATATTTGCAGATTTTAAGACATTGTTGGTAAGATATCAATTCTTAAATTGCTCTACAGAGTCAATGAGATAGAATTTTATGGTAATTGATAGGATGCTTTGGAAATTTATATGGACATGTAAAAAAATCTATATTACCTAATATAATTTTAAAACAAAGCTTGAGATTAATACCACCTGGTTTCTATGTTTATTAAAAATCGACATGAATAAAATAGACATATACATCAATGGCCTTCTCCTACATAGTAAATTAACTATCAACAAGGATGCAAAAACAATTTAAAAGAGATGGAAGAATATTTTTACTTTTTCATTTTTTTTGGGAGATAGGGTCTCACTATGTAGCTCAAAGGGCCTTGAAATCACTGACATCTCCTGCATCAGCCTCTCGAGTGCTGGGATTATAGGTGTGTGTCACCAATGCTAGAAGAACATTTTTGAAATGATACTGGAACAACTAGATATTCTTACAGGAAAATTTGTATCCCTATCTCACACTACACATAAGAATTAACTTCAAATGGATTTATAATCCCAAATGAAAGCACTGGAGATGTTAAAACTTCTAGAGGTGAGAAAAAAATATCTCTGCTGCCTTAGGGAGGCAATGATTTGTTAGACAGGACTCAGATGTACTACTCATTAAAGAAAAAACTGATACAACTGGACTTCAACAAAATTAAAAACTGCTCTTCAGTAGGCATGGTTAAGAAAAAGAAAAGAGAAGAACAGGATGAGAGAGACACTCATAGTACATATATCTGACAAAAGCCTTGTGGCCAGGCCATGAAGAACTGCTGCGAATCAGGTAAGAAAGGACAAAATGCCTGGCTGCCCCAACACAAAGCGCAAGACCAGAACATGCAGTGTGCACATGGGAAGGAGCTGGACCCACCAGGGTGCCAATTGCTCATCCTCGGATGTCAACACCAACTCGGGAGGACCAAACTGGAGCTCCTAGCAACTCTGGAAGGCCAGTGTGGTAGAGCTATCCAGGGTGGTGGTGCACAACTGTAATCGCCACACCCTGGGAGGCTGAAGCAGGAGAATCTGAGTTTCGGCCCAGTCTAGGTAACTTAGCCATTTAGCGAGACCCTGTCCCAAAATAAGAAATGGGCTATTGATATAACCCAGTGTGAAGGCCCCAGTTCAACATCCAGGACCCATAAAAGAAAAGAAAATGTAAAGGACCCTGGAAAACAGTTTGGCTGGAATTGGGGGTGTTTGTCTTTTATTTGGTGTTGAGGATGGGACCCTTTGCTTCACATGGGAGACCTACCACCGAGCCATGCCTGCAGCCTGCCCCCTCCTTGATAATGTTATATATCTACCCAATCACCAAACTATCCAATTTATAGGCCTGTATGAAAGAAACAACAGGTGGGGGATTTGGCCCAGTGGTTCACTGCCTCTCGAGCACAAGGACCTGAGTTCAATCCCCAGTATCAAAAATAAATAAATAAAATAAAAATAAACAAAAACACATGCACCAAAATCTTTACACTAGAATGTTTACAGTTAAAACCCTGAACAGCCCACAAGTCCATTTGCAGGACAGCAGACAACTAGGGCACACCCGCACAGAGGAATACTATGCTATAATATCAAAGGCAGCTGCAGAGGTGCAGGAGGAAAGGACAATATCCCACACATTTCACTAAGCAGAGAAAGCCAGCCATAAGCCAGCACTCGCTGTGGGATTCGCTTTGTGAAGTTCAAGAGTAGGTGAAACCAGCAGCAAAGGCAGAAACCCAAGGGCCAAACTGAACCCAGGGATATCACAAGCCTGGGACACTGCCCGCTGACTTGATATCTGAGACCCTGCACCCCCTGACTCCAACCCTCCATGCACCAAGTCAAGAAGCTCTGCTCCTGCAGACACAGTGAATAACAAGGCGGGTCAGAGTCATAAGTAACACTTCCTCTTCTTTTTGTCCTTTGAAAATCCTGTATCCGAGAAAGACCACACTGAACGTGAACAGCCCTTCCGTTTCAGTGCTGAGATTTCAACTGACTTAACCTTACATCTTCCTCTGACTTCTCATGTTTCTGCAACAGTCATTCATTTGACTGAGCTGTGCCCTCTGCCCCTTTACAATTTCATGTTGAGATAGCGTCTCGCTAAGTTGCCCAGACTGGCTTTGAATTTGCAATTCTCTTGCATCAGCCTACTGGGGAGCTGGGATCACAAGCATTCGCCTCCATGCCAGGCCTTTACTTGTAATTAACAGTAAAATGGAGTGAATGCATGAGGCTGTCATCTGATAAAGACCAAATGAGACACAGAGTGATTCTCAGAAGTGTGCTGAGAACAGCATCAGGAAGGCTGAGCCCCCGCTGACTGCCGCCCTGCTGTCCTCCAGAGTGGGTCCATCCCCAAGGCACAGAGGGCAGCAAGGCTCAGTTTGCTCTGCTGGGTTTTCCTTGCACTGTTCCTCTTTGTGACATCACTTCCTGCTGTCCTGATTCCATTCATGATGCCATTTCCTGCTGCCCTGTCCCTGTTCATGGTGTCACTTCCTGCCCTTGACCCTGGACCAGTGCATTTCGCAGGACCCCCAGTGTGACAGTCCCTGTGTCACCTCACCTGCACGCTGGAGGAAGCTGTTCCAGTTGAAGGCGGCATTTGGTATTGTTGCGATTCCTGGTTAAAGGAAAGAGAGGAAAGGTCACTTTGCGAAGCTGCTGGTATCGTGCCAGTGTGGTGGCTGAAGTTTCAGTAGTTCCAAGCTCTCTGGGGTCCCTGAACCACCCCAGCCCGGGGCTTTAAAGTGAGCCCAGATTACAAGGGACCATTGACTCTTCCCCACCCTCCAGGACAATGCCGCACTCCTCTGGGTCACACAGACCCACTTTCTTTTCTTTTGAGACCTGGTCTCCCAATGTAGCCCAGGCTGGCTTCCAACTCACAGGAATCTTCCTGCCTCAGCCTCCCTAGTGCTGGGATTACAAGTGTGTGCCACCACACCTGGCAAAAAAGGCACTGTTAAGGTTTCTAGAATGTAAGCAACCTAACAACTCCAGGTAGAAAGGATACCTTTATTTAAAAGTCCTAACTTAACCCTCACCAGTCATGCATTACCACCTGGGGCTGGGTCATGGCCTTGGATCGATTTGCTGGTTAAATTTACATTTTTCTTTGAAAATGAACATTTTAAAATGTAACCACTCCATGTGCAACATTGGACAGATTATCTTGAGAAGCTGTGAAGTTTGGTCATCTAACCCCCTGGGAAGCATGCTCTGTGGCCAGCATCTGCTCTGAATGATGCAAAGTACAAAGGACAGTGGGATGGGAGACCAAAAAGCTTAATGTAATCCCAGCACTGGGGAGGCTGAGGCAGGAGAATTGCCATGAGCTCAAGGCCAGCCTGGACCACACAGCAAGACCCTGTCTCAAACAAACAAAAAGCTGAGCATTATTTTCGTCTCCTAATTTCATCTTGCTCTGTCCCAATTTGTGATGACTTACAAAACTAACCGACTCTTTTATTAAAAAGTTAAATTAAAATTGAGTTAAAATGTTTAAATGAAATTAAATTCTTCCAAAGGAATCATAATCAGTTAAAACCATCACATTTTACATGAGACTAAAAACATGATTTCTGAGGAATGATTAGGAGTGTGATGGCAAATTTTTAGAGTTTTCGAAGCCACACATAGCCCATGGCACCGCTACTGTGCTAGGAGGTCTTGGGTGGACTGACAGCAACTTGTGAGATGACTCTCTGGGACAGCATCAGACAGACAAAAGACCACAGTGGGTCACAGGCGGTGAAAGCAGCATAAAAATTAAGCTGGTTTAAAATGCAAGGAGGGTAATGGGGAAAAGAAGAGCAATCGAGAAATGTCATATACAGGTACAAATTCCCTGTGATGAATGTGATTGTTGTGTATATGCAGATTGTGCCAATGAAATTAGACGTTTTTAAGAAATGCTATAAGTAGTAACAGATGCATGCTGAAAGGTCAGTCTATATAAAACGATCCCTCGCAAAGGAGTGTGAGTGGGTGGAACAGACAGCAGCACCCTTGGGCAGGCTGATTCCTCTGTCCTGCTGACCACACCCACATGCACCCCCAGCACGGGCTGGCCCACTCTGCTGCAGGGCGAGGGCAGCTGGAATGCAGCTCACTGAAGGCCTGGATGCTACAGTGGCCCTGGGGATCGTCCAGGGGTGCTCTGCCCATGAGCTACATCCCAGTCCTTTTTAAAGTTTGGATTTTGAGGCAGGGTCTCACTGGTTCACCCAGGCAGGACTTGAACTAATAATCCTCCTGCCTCAGCCTTCCTCGGTGCTGGGATGCCGGGTACTTTGTCTTGTTTTGTTTGCTTAAATGTGGCATACATGGGGTACATTACACTTCTGCTCAGGAAAAGGGCACTCAATCTGCATCTTAATTATTTTGTAATTTTTCTTCTTCTTTTATTCTAGAGTTGGAAAATAATGAAAATGTACCCACTGTATTGATTATTTTAAGTAAATCTCAGAAATCATATGTCATTCATTAACATTTCAATGGGTATCTGTAAAGAACTCATTCCTTTAAAATATAACACACACACACACACACACACACACACACACACACACACACATATATATATTACCTATAAAAAATTCTTACCTTGACTCTGGACATAGATCTTACCCTGAGCATGCGGCTTTTTAAAGGAGAGAGAGAAAAAGATAGATGTGACAGTCCATCTCGGGCTTTTTAGAGATAAATAAGGCATTGTAAATCCTGAGAGAAGCAAGTATCTCCCCCAACCCCATCCCCAGCCCTGCTGGGAGTCTCCAGGCTTTGGGAGCATGGGGGACTCTGTTTCAAGAGGGTTTTGCCGTGAAAACCACAGCTCTGCAGGCGTGAAGCAGAGGACTGGCTCGGTGGTTACCAGGTTAGTGCCGAAGCTGCTGAGTAGCCAGGGGCAGCGCCCTCGCCCTTGGGTGGGAAAGAGTATGCTCCGCCCACCCAGACAAAAGACAAGGGATGCCTGGATAAAGGGAGAAGAGAAAGAGGAAGACACGGGAGGGAAAGGACTGGGGGGGGGGG